AAAAGACAAAAAATGACATCAGTAGGAAAAAAGAACTGGGGTGTATTTAGATAGAGCAATCCTCCTCATTGCAAAAGAAGGAAGCAGCAATATGGATAAATGCAAAAAAAACCCCCATTATCTTGTGTGAAAGAAGCCAGATATAAAAGAGCTCACATTGCAGGATGATTCCATTTTTATCTTTTTCTAAAATGGAAAAAGCCAATTGATGGTGGTGGGGAAACATCAGAATAGTGATTGCTTCTGGAGTTGGGGCAGAGAATAAGTGGGAAAGGGCTGGTGTGGGCGTGGGGTCATGTGGATTGAGCGGTGCAAGTGTCAGTAGTAAGCATTTCATTGTTGCTAATTTCTCATCAGCTAGAAAACAAATATTGAAATCCAATACAGGATATACATGATGACATAATTGGGAAGATGTCCTTAGGTTGACTGTGACTCATCAGCCCTCTGAGACTGTAGAATTCCTCCGTTGGGTTTCCAGGGCTGTGTGTTATCGTTACCGAAGCCCAGCTGTCCTCCTGCAGGGCATCTGGTCATTAGAACTCCTCTCCTTTTAGTTAATACAAGGTGAAGATGCCCTTCCCCCAGTCCACTTTGCAGTGCTCCTCTGGTTCCAAATTGTGGTCATACATACAATGACTGATCATATATGACTTTCAAACTCATATATTTCTGCCCCTCATCTGTTCCAATGCAGTATTTATTATCTATCCACTCTTTTCCTGTTCTCCCCACAGCACCCCATGTCAGTCCTATTTTATAACAATGGTGTCATGCAGTATTTGTCCTTTTTTAACTGAGATATTTCACTCAGCATAATGTCTTCCCTGTTGTGTCATTTTTTAGGAGTTTATTGTTGTTCAGTGCCATTTAATATTCCATTGTGTGGAAGTATGCTAGTTTTTCTATCCATCATTTGTGGATAGCGCTTGGGTTGCTTCCATATCTTTGCTATTGTGAATTAACGCAGCAATAAGCATGGGTGGACATAAAAAAAAATAAATAAATAAAGGTCAAGAGTCTTTGTTACCATGACTCTTCACATGAAAATGTACATGAATGACATCTGCAGTGGGCAAGGGAACGTGTCAGAAACAGAGAAGAATTATCGTACGGATAAGTGCCTGCAGGTCAGCTTTTCCCTCTTTCTTAGTGTGACCCAGGATGACAGAGTAGAACTGTTCCACTGAGTGTTCCAGGGTCTACTACTCACATGAGCAGATTGCCAAGTCCTAGAGCTGCTATCTAGTTTGGTTTTTTTAAATTATTATTTTGTGTGTGTGTGTGTGTGTGTGTACCGTCAAATCGGATCTGATTGGTACAGGCTATCTAGTTTTATAAGTCAAATTTTAAAACACGATTCTGTGAGCGTTTCCTCATATCAAAACCTGATTTTGTATGGTTGCACTAAATTTTCTTTCCAGTATTTTATTATGAAAGATTTCAAACACAGAAATTTTGAAAGAATTTTCTGGGCAACCTCTGTACATTTACTACCCAGATGTGACCATTAGCATTTCTTATACTTGCTCTATCTGGCCACCCACTTATTTATCTCTCTATCCAGCCAAGAAACTGCAGTGGTGCTACAGTTCAATGCTTGGGGGGTTCGAATTCACCCAGCAGCTCTAAGACTTGGCAATCTACTAGCTGTTGGAGGTAAACCGAGTAAACACAGAATCATGTTTTCAGGAAAATTTGAGTATATAGTGTGAGAGCCTGTTTATGTCAAACACAAATTATAAAGAAGAAACAAAATTCAAAGGACATTTGAAAAATAAACATCAAACTACAAAGACAGTTCTCTCTTGCCATGTTGCTTAGGGCAAAATAGATAAACTTTGCCAGTATGGAAATCAGTATTTCTTAAGGCAAAGAGAATATGTCTGATTCCTTCCCCTTTCCTTTTATCTTCCCTATCCTGGAGTATAAAATTGTTTATAAGATGCACTGCTTTTTAAAAGGGCAGATTAAACTTTGCTGTCATTAAAGTATGGCAATCAGTTGGTCACACCAGCATTGGTGTGTTTGCACTGAAATGTGTTTCATCTTTCTAAAATACCTGACAATGTGTCCTGTCTTCATGGGCATTCCTTGTTGGCATAGGCAGTGTGTGGGTGTGTGTGGGGGTGTGTGGTTTTTTTGTTTGGAGCTGTTTATTATTGGCAGTATTTTTGCCTGTTTCTCAGTTATAAACAAAAGTAGCTTCATCTGGCTGTTTCTTTTTCTTCTTCTTTGTTCTTGTAAAGCATTGAGTTATTTTGCATGAAAATATGGAATTACAGTCATTCATTGCTGTTCACTAGTGTCAGATGTGTCCTCTGCTACTCTGTTTCCATTTCTTTCTTATTTATAAATGAACATTTTGTTTCAATGGCAAATTTTGAATAATCACTTTAAAGATAAAGCAATTAAAGTCAGCACACACAGTGCATATTATTTGGTTAAAAGGATGACATTATGAATAACTGCTCAAAAGACATTAAAACTTGAAGAAAAAATATCTTAGAATTAAAATTTTAGAATAAGAAACATGTGCGTTTTAGAATTGAAAGCTATTGCTTATCTCTGAAAAATTCCTATAGGTTAATGAGGCATTACAGCGCCTCTGGTTAAAATTGATGACTCCTAATTCTAAATTTATAATTCTTAATTCTGTCAGCTGCCTAGGATATACAGAGAACTCACCAATAATTTTTAGATTTTAAAGAAATTAAATGAATGAAAGAAGTTACTATTAAGTGGCAGACTAGTGAAAAGGCCTGTTGGAAAATGGCGAGATGTAAATGAAAGTCACTCTTCAGCCACTGGTTCACATTTTTACTCAGAAGCTCACGTTCCTCATCTGTTAAATTATACTGCTGGTTAGTTCAGAAAATCTCGGTGCTCAATATAAGATCACAGGCAGCATATGAAAGTGTTGAAGTAGGTTTCCACATGGCTAAGTCATATCCCAGATAGATGAAATCAGAATGTCTAGGCATGTAGGCCAGACACGTGTGTGTGTGTGTGTGTGTGTCTGTGTGGGGGGGGGGAGGGGGAGAGAGAAGCTTTTCAGCTGGTTCCAGTGTTCAGTCGTGAGTTGAACATTCAGGAAGATGACCTGGAAAGCTCCTTGCACTTTACCTAAGAGTTGTTGTTAAGTGTCAACAATTTAGTGCCAACTCATACCCACTCTGTGCACCACAGAAAGAAAACAGTGCTAGTCCTGTGCTGTCCCAGAACCACACTGCTGCGGCCACCAGGTTCTTATTGAGAGTTTTCCTTTTTTTTTTTTTTTCTTTATCCTGAACTTCTGCTTTTCAAACATCATAACCTTCTCCAGGGACTAGAACCTCCTTGATGACATCTGTGTCTCTCCGTCCTGCTCACGAGCACTGTGGCTTCACTTCGTCCACAAGATTTGTTTGTTCTTCTAACAGATCATGGTATTCAATATTCTTTGGTGCCATCCTAAGTCAAAGGCATACATTCATCTTCATTCTTCCTTATTCTTTGTCCAGCTTTCATATGAAAAAAATGTTTTTGTTGTTGATAAATGCCATTGAGTCAAGAACAACTCATAGCAACCCTGTAAATGGAAGGTTTGAACTCTGTCCTATCATTCGCCATCCTTATTATCCTCAATCTAAGTCACTGGGTTCAGTGACCCAATTGGGTCATTGAGTCCAGTACCTCTGGGCCCATTGTTGCATGAGACAGTTGAAAATACCATGGCTGGAGTCAGGTGCACCTTAGTCCTAAAAGTGACATCATTGTTGTTGAACTCTTAGAAGAAGGCACTTGCCTATTTTGGTAAATAAAGTGTTAGGTTTCTCTACTGCTACTTTCATATGTGTTTTGGATCCAAATGAAATGAAACCCTTGACAGCTTCCTGTTTTATTCTGTTATCATGACTCTTTTATTCTGTTATCATGACTTTTATTCTGTTATCATGACTATTTTATTCTGTTATCATCATGTCTCTTGCTTATTGGCTACATTCAGTTGATGATTGCTGTCAAGTCGCAATCAACTCATACGTGACCCTCCGTTGCACATCAAAAGCTGTAAATCACACAAGAAGAGAGTTCCCATTTTCCTCTTCTTTTTAAGAATTTCTGTTTTCTTTGTGTTGAAGTATAATCTAAGACAGCTATAGGCTTTGGTCCTCATCAGTCTGAGCTTCAAGTCCTCTTCGATTTCAGCCTGCCGGGCAGTTCTGCTGTTTTATAGGTCATTATCAGTCAGGATTGACTACACAACACAGACCATCACTTTACAAAGCACTTATGCGTCTGTGAACATGCAGGGGTAGACAGGAAAGTTAAGAGCTTTCCAAGGTCAAACAGGCCATTTTCTTGATATGCTTATTTGTTTTCCTAACAGCACGGAATGTGAGTTCAGAAGCATAGAGTGAGCAAGTATCTGATTAATGCTTTGAGTCAGATTTAGCCAGAACCTAGATGCACCCCAGGCTGAAGCGTTTGAAGGAAGATCTGTCAATCAATAAGGTAGAAAGTGGATTTCAAAGAAAACCTCCACCACGTTCTGAGCTGTGTTCGCTGAGCCCATTTAGAATGGTGCTTTACCCCTTTAATCTTTGTATTGGAATAAACTTGTTTTTTTTTCTAGTATAAGTCAGCACTTTATAGTGGTTATATGTCAGCCATGCTGAAAAATCAGAGGCTGGTAGCGTTTTAAAAAGTATTAAAATAGCAACTGTATTATTTTGAAAAGAAACCAGGGGATTAACTTAATCTGTTGCCCAGAAACACAGTCAAAGAGGAATCAGATTGTACTTTGATTTTTTAAAAACTTTTTTTACCATGTCGTGTAGCAGGCTAGAAAAAGCTGAACTTGTGCAGGAAGTAGGTCATCCACTGAACTTCCAAAGTCATTAGTAACTTAAGAACTTGCTCGACCTTTCCTTAAAAGGGAACGTTGTACTATTTGTTAATCTGCAAGACCCTTTGCTCACATGGAAGCTTTGATTTTAATGATCTTTCCTTCGTTTTAGGTATTGCTTGGATAACCGGAAAGCCTTAGAAAGAGATGGGGAATTTTCTGAGCTTCAGTCTCGCCTCATCCGTTATGAAACTCAAACTACCTGCACCCGGGAAGGCTTGTCAGTGCTGAGCCCTCTCCCCTCTCCTGCTGTTTCATCCGAGCCGGGGAGTGTTCCTGACGGAGAAGCCTTACAAAGCGAACCACGCGCTGAAGCCTGTGGATTGAGACGGCGTCCAAAGGAGCTGAGATGCCTTTATCCCCCAAAGAGGTGATGTGTATTAAAGGCACAAAAGTAGTATCTTGACAGAAAGCATCTTAATCTCTAGAGTAACTTCTTTTTCATCGTAATTTTAAAATAATTTCGTTATTTATCTTCTCTCTCTATTTCTCTCCCCCTTCTCCCTTTCCCCTTCCCTCTCCCTCTCCCTTTCCCTCTCCTCTCTCTCTCTCTTTCCCCTCCTCCCTCTCCCTTCCTTTCCTCAACAACCTGCTGGTGGATTTGAACCTCAGGCCCAGCCTTTGAGTCAGCAGCACAGGCCCCTGCTTGCCTGTGCCGCCAGAGCTCTCCTTAGCTGTCGCAGTGCTGCCGTGATAGAAATACCACGAGGGGCTGGGCTTTCACGCACAGATTTCTTGTCTCCCGTGTTAGGAAGCTTGAAGTGTGAACCCAGGTGCCTGCTGTAGAGGAGGTTCCCTCTCGGTTGGCTCTGGAGGAACGAGGAACGTCCCTGTCTCTTCTGAACTTCTGCTTCTGGACAGTATCCCTGTGCTTGGTGTCCTTTGCTCTGCTCACCTGTTTAATCTTTCATTTATATAAAAAAAAATTGACTCTACACACACCTTGCACTGAGCCTGCTTCATTAATATGACAAAGACAACTCATCTCAAACAGTTTCATAATGACAGACCCCAAAGTTGTGATTTATAACATTTATTTAGTGGGGGACATAATTGAACCATATCATTGTTCCCTTTGGCTGCCCTAACCCTCACGTTCTTGTGATGTGAAGAATGTATCTACCTCCTCATTACATCACCCTGAAAGACTTTATTGTTACTGGGTGCCGTCGAGTTGAGTATGACCCATAGCAATCCTGTGAACAGCAGATCTGACCCCTGTCCTGTCCTGTGCCGTCCTCCTCATCTCTGGCACTTGAGCCCGAAGCTCACTGTGTCAGTCTGTCTGGCTGAGGATCCTCTCTTTCTCTGACCCTCCACCTTTCAAGCATGAAGTCTCTAATCAACTCCAAATCCAAAATCTGTTTTTCTGAAGCATCTAAATCAAATATGGGTGAAACTTTGCATGCGTTCCATTCTGGATCAAATTCCTCTTCATCTGTGACCCTCTGGAATCTAGAATCCAGAGTATCTGCTCTCAGATGGAATAGGAGAGCGGGAAGCAGGGGGTGAGTTTCCTCTAATGGGAGGTGTTGAGGGATAGGAGAGATAACAGATATCAAGCAGATTCCAAACTCAGCAGAACAAATGCCCTTAGTTCTCACAGCTTGAAAAAGTCCCGTGTTCTTGGAGGCCATCTATCTGAGCAATGCCTCTGTCCTCAGCTCTGGGTGTCGGCCAGGCCCTGTGGTTTCTGGGTTCCCACTCTGCCTCCAGCTCCCTTTCCGTGGGTGGTGCCATTCGACTCCGTTTTCTACCTGTCAGGCAGGTAGCCCAGGTGCTAAGGGGATGTTAGTCTCATCCCCTTAGCACCTGGGACTGGCATTCCCACACTCTGGAGCAGACTCTGGAACCGTGGAGACTCTGACCCCACCCTCAGAGCTGCTCCAGGGATAGAGAGGGACAGCCATTGTGCCTCCTTGGACCTTTTCCTGCCCAGAGCATTGCAAGAAGCAGATGGCTTCTCCCCTTTAGTTCTTTCTCTGTCCCATCAGTTCAGCCTGATCCATTCACAAAACGCGCTGATATGAAAGCTTAAATGCAGAATTTTGAAGTCAGGAAGGAATTTTTCAGTGGTGCTTCATGAAACCCCATAAGGGGCCAAAGCAAAGAGCAAAGCAGCTGTGAGAGAAGAAAGCAGGAAGAGCTAACAAAACTCCCACCCCCAAACACCCTCTTCCACGGAGCAGCTCAGCTACTTAATCAGTCACAGGTGGTATTAACCATGCCCATTCCATAGATGTTCCCTCTCTTGTGCAATTTATAGCCTCTGAAAACCAGCGAGAGCTACAGCTCAGTTCCTCCACAAGGCATGAAGAGTTCTGAGAGATTCTTCAAACAGAGCGCTAGTGGCAAAGTGGTTAAAGAGTCCACCTGCTAACCAAATGTCTCCATCCACCAAACTACTCGGCAAGGCCGTCAGCTTCCACAAACACCTACAGGCTTGGAAAGCCGCTCTGTTCTACAGGGTCTCTGTGGGTTAAATCCACTCTGTCGGTTTGTCCTTAATACAACACAGTTTGTACAGAAATAGAAGTTGTGTATAGGTGGGTTTTCTCCCCCCTAAGTTATAAAAAGAAATGAGTTGGAAAAAGCATTCACTATTTCTTGCTTTCTATTGCTAATATGCAGCCCATTAGCACCATGGCATGTAAAGTTTTTAAGCCACGGGACAATGGAGATGGTATCGAGTAGATTAAGTAGCTGAGCTGCTTCATGGAAGAGGGTGTTTGGGGGTGGGAGTTTTGTTAGCTCTTCCTTCTTTCTTCTCTCACAGCTGCTTTGCTCTTTGCTTTGGCCTCTTACGGGGTTTCATGAAGCACCACTGAAAAATTCCTTACTGACTTTGAAATTCTGCATTTAAGCCTTCATGTCAGCGCGTTTTGTGAAACTTTTCTATTGTTGTTAGGTGCCATCAAGTGGAGTAAAACCTGTAGCGACCCCCTGTGGACAAGAGATCTGAACCCTGTCCTGTGTGATCCTCACAATCTCGGACACACGTGAGCCCATTGCTGCAGTCACTGTGTCATTCACCTGGTTGAGGGTCCTCTTTCACTGACCCTTCACCTTACCAAGTATGATGACCCTCTCCAAGGAATAGCCTTTCCTGGCAATATGTCCAGTGTATATGAGAAGAAGATTAATCATCTCTGCCTACAAGAAGCACTCTGGCTGCACCCTCTCCAAGACGTACCTGTTTGTTCTTGTGGCAGTTCATGGGATATTTACTATTCTTCTCCAGCACCACAGCTCAAAGGCATCAATTCTTCTGTCACCATAATTCATTGCCTTGCTCTCAAATGGATAGCAAGTGATTAAAAAGATGATGGCCTGAATCAGGCACACCTTAGTCCTCAAACTGACATCATTGCCCCTCAGTACTTTGGAGAGGTCTCTGACTGCAGACTTTCCTGATCTTTTGACTGCTGATAATCAATTATATTTATTGTGGATCCAGCTAAGATGATGTTGATGATAGTTTCAATCATTTCTCCGTCATGATGTTGCCTATCAGTTCTCTTGATGCTGAGATGCAATCCATGTTGCTATACCTGATACTCTCCAGAAAGTACTTCAAGTCCTCCTCACTTTAAGCAAGCTAAGTTGTGTTAACTGCATAGTGAAGGTTATTGATTGATGAGTCTTCCTCCAATCTTGATGCCACATTCTTCCTCATAGAGTCCAGCTTTCTGAATAATTTGCTCAGCATACAGATTGAATAAGTCTGGAGAATGGATACAACGTTGACTCACACCCTTGGTAATTTTAAACCATATAGTGTTCTCTATTACTGTTCACACAACACCCTCGTAGTCTGGCGGTAGGTTTCGTGTGAGCAAAATTAAGTATTCTAGGATTTCCCCTCTTCTCAATGTTAGCCTTAACTTATGTTATTTATGACCCACGCAGTCATAAATTCCTTTGTATAGTCATAAAGCACAATTAGACATTCTTCTGATACTTTGTGCCTTCAGGCGGATCCGTCTGACATCAGCAGTGATATCCCTGGTGCTACAGCCTCTTCTAAATCCAGCTTGAACATTGTCAGTCCTCTATGTACTGTTCTAGCCATTTAAAAGGATCTTTACCAATATTTTGCTTGCATGTGATAGTAATGATATTGTTTGATAGTTTCTATGCTTACTTGGATCACTTTTCTTAGGAATGGGAACATATATCTCTTCCAGTCAGTTGGGCAGGCAGCTGTCTTTCAGATTTCTTTGCACAGACTAGTAAGTATGTTCAGAGCTGCAGGAGTTATTTGAGACTTGTCAGTTGGTGTCGCATCGATTCCTGGGGCCTTAATTGCCATTACCTTCAGTACAGCTTGGACTTCTTCCTTCATTGCTCTTGACTCCTGATAATATAGTTGTTGCTGATTGCCTTCGAGTCAAGCATGACTCCTAATGACCCTATGAACAAAAGGCCTGTAGCCCCTCTACAACTGTCGACATTTATCAAAGTTCATAAAATATCCGTAGCCATGTTGTTTAGGAAGTGGATGCCACTCCTGCTTCCAGGCCTGCCATAGAATGTTTTTGGTTGAGTCGCCTGCGATGCATAGTGACCCATGTACAGCAGCTCTGAACCCTTCCCTGTCATGAGCCAGTCTCACTAATTTCAACATACCAACCCCCATTGCCCCAGCCACTGTATCAGTCCATCTTGTCTGGGATCTCCCTCCCCTCCATTGTCCATCCACTCTTCCGAGCATAATGTCCTTCTCCAAGGACCAGTCTCTCCTGGCCACGTGCCCAAAGTAAGTGAGATGGACCTTCAAAATCCTAGCCTCCACGGAGAGACTTGGTTTCACCTTCTCCAAGACAGACCTATTTTCTTGGCAGTCCATGGTATGTTCAAGACTCTTCCCCAGACCCACAACTTGAAGGCATCTATTCTTCTGTCATCCTTAGTCATTGTCCAACTCTCTGAAGCATAACAAGTAATTGAGAAGACCATGGCCTGGATTAGGCACACCTTTGTATCTAGACTGACATTGTTACTCTTCAGCACTCTGGAGAGGTCTGTGACAACAGATTTTCCCAATGCAATTCGTCTTTTGATTTCCTGACTGTTGGTGTTATATGGTATTTCCTGAAATATGTCAGTGACAGTAATTTTTTTTTTTTATACAGTGATTTGGTATATTCCTCCCATCTTCTTTTAATGCATTCTGAGTGATTTAAGATCTTATTGATGGCATCTTTAAGTATTGTAACCTGAGGCTTGAATTTATGTGGAAACTTTTCTATATAGTTTTTATTTTTGTTTTTCTTTTTTAGCTAAATAGATAAAGCATTCAGATACTTGATTAGAAGTTAGAAGTTTTTATATATGTAATCAAATTTCCACTAAATTTATATATTTTTAACTCGTTCAGATTTAAATCCTTGCTATCAATAGCAGGACTTAAATTCTTTTCGGTGATTAATATAAAAAGATAAGACATTTCTTAAAAATATTGAGCAAAGTATTTAATGAGAAAAATGGGGCTTGTGATTTTTTTAAAAAAATATGAACTAGCTTTGTGTATTGTCATTTCTGTAAAAGTTTACAGAACATTTTCATTTTTTTAATCATTCACACACATTTTGAGTTATAAAGCTCATTACCGTCCCCAGCAATGGCGGATTAACCTTTTTTAACATTGCCTTTCCCTTCAGTCCTAAATAAAGATCTACTGGGGTTTTTTTGGTGGTGGTGGTGTTTTTAATCTGTTACCTTTACAGCCCAGGGCTGAAAACTTACTGCATTACTTTAAATCTGTAAGACATTATGAAATATATGAAAATGAAACCTTCATATCCCATATTTTCTTTTTTTCCCCCTTGGTACAGTTAAAAAACATTAGCATACCCTGTACCCTGGTAGGAAAAACCTAAAAAGTGTTCACAAAGACTTTGTAAATTCAACACGCTTTTTATGTCTCATAAAACCAAGAAAGAAAATCCCTTAACATTTGGAAACTATGTCTTAAAGCTGTACTCGTTATTTCTGATCTGTGACTAATAAACAGATGTGGGTATTTTGGAAAAGAAAGTACACTGGGGCCCATGGATTTACAGGATAAAGGCCATAATGCCCTGCCTCATTAAGGAAACACTTTTGGTGTTGACAGGTGCAAATGCAAACATTTTAAAAAGATTGAAAGAAGAGCCCATTTTATAGTTTTGTTTATATTTGCTTTAACACTGTTACTTCTTTTATACAAGTGTTTATGTAGGGACAAAACCAAGTATTATTTCTTGTTAAAATAATAAGAAAGCGTAAGTACGTGTACTTTTGTATAAGATCGTGAGTATTGAGTGTATCAATAGCATTGTAGATGATTTATCTGAAAAATTCTAAATGAGAGAGGGTAAATAGTAATGTTGCTTATTGCTTTCCCTGTTAGCTTATTTGGAGATTTTAGTTACTCTGCAAAATTAAAGGAATGACTTCATTACTTGTTGTTACATAGCTTCTACTTGGAATTGACTCAGAGCTGAGCCCCCCCCCCCCCAAGCTGGTTTTCAGAGACTGTAGACCGTAAATGACAAGGGAGGACACTGATTGCTCCTTTTTCTTCTGTGGAGGAGCTGGTGGGTTCAAACCACCTGCCTTTGGGTTGGCAACACAACTGCTTAGAACTAGGCCACCAGAGCTGCCTACAACTTTATAGTATTTTTCGTTTTTTAAAGACACTTCTTGTTGTTATTGTTGTGTACCATTGAGTCAGAACCAACCCATAGCTGACCCTGTATCGGGTTTTCAGAGAACCGGACAGAAGGAGATTGTCCATCCTTCTCCCACGGAGCAGCTGGTGAATTTGAACCATGTCTGTTTGGGATTGCAGTGCAGTTTTACAGACTCCTTTTGAGTTTATGTCTGAATGGATATATATTTGCAATATTTAGGACATGAATTGGACGCCATTGCCAAGTGGCCTAAGGTCTGTACTTTCTTCTCTTCCCCACAGTAGGCTTGTGAAATCGGAAAGTTCAGATTCTCTCCTTTCCCAAGCAAATGACAGCCAACGCCATCCTCATCACATGGTGGCATCCAGAAGACTGCAGGTGAAGGAACCATTAGCGAGGACTGGCCCCTCTGTCTCAGCCCCTGCCACAGAAGCCATAAAAGTCACTGAAAAGGCCAGACCCAGTCAGAAAAGTGTGCCCGAATCCAAGCTGTCCCAGCGAAGCAAGGAATCCCGATCCCAGAAGCACACCCGGGTAATGATCGGCTCCCCGCCTGTCCTTTTTTGTCTACGTGGGATGTAGTTCTCTTACTGGATTCCTTCAGAGTGTATGCCTAACTCTTTTATGGATGAGGTTAAATGATGTATGGAATTGACTTTAAAATAATCCACTGGGAAAGCTGGTAAGGGTTTCCAACTAACATAGGCCATGAATGGATTGGTTTTGAAGCTGGCTGATAGATGAGAATTTGTCATAACAGAGTCTCTTTACTCTTTCTATTTGAATATTTCATAATAAAAATAAATACACACTTACATATTCCCTGCTGTGTTTAACTTTCACATGCAGATTTCAATTTCAGCGTTGATTTGAATTCCTCTCTTAAGAAAACCCAGTCATTTCCTGCTAATGCATAATATTGTGTGACAAGTGAGAGGTCTTATAAATGTTACAGATAGCTTCTCTCCCAAACAGCTCTTCTTAATGAGCTTCTCTTTCCTTAGCACTGCTGAGTAAATGTATAAATGTATAGTGCAGACTACTAGTTAGTACTACTGCTGCTGCTGCTACTACTACTGTTACTACTGCTCATTACCATCAAGTCAGAACTGACGCATAGCTAGTTAATCCTCCAGTGGGTTTTCAGAGACTATAAATTACATAGGAGGAAATTGCCCATTTCTCTCTCAGGGTGCAGCTTCTGGACTCTAACTGGCTGCCTTTGACCTGGTAGCCCAGCACCCTATCCACTAGCCCACCAGAACTCCCCAGTAATATGTAGGATTGAGCTAATTTGTTTGTACCTTTTCCAAGAAATAGGAGTCATACATTATGATCTTTTCCAGATCCTGAAAGAAGTAGTGACTGAAACCCTGAAGAAACACAGAATCACTGAGACCCATGAATGCTTTACTGCCTGCAGCCAGCGTCTTTTTGAAATCTCGAAGTTCTATCTAAAGGTACAGTGTCTTCTCTGCTAATGCCGAAAGTTTCATCAGGTTCCCTATAATAATATGTTTCCTATTTCTTAGTGCTGGTGGCATATATAACTAGCAGTCTAATTTTTTAAAAAAATGGAGATGGAAAAATCGAAGCCAAAATATTTTCTGTTTGATTTCTTTTAGTCCTAAAGCACAGAATATTAAATTTTGTCTGATATTCTCAGTATTTTCCTTACCAATTGGTTGATTTAGGTTGTTAGCATTAACGTCAGGTAATGTTTAGTCTGCTTGGCTCCATGGTCAACACTCTTGGCACCAGTAGCCAGGAAATCAAAAAACATATTGCGATGGGAAAGTCTGCTGTTAGGGACCTTTCCAGGGTACTGAAGAGCAATGGTGTCACTCTGGAGACTAAGGTGCATCTGATACAGGCTATGGTCTTTGCAATCATTTGTTATGCATCAGAGAGTTGGACAATGACTAGGGAGGATAGAAGGAGAATTGATGCCTTTGAGCTGTGGTGCTGGAGAAGAGTATTGAATGTACCCTGGACTGTCAGGAAAATAAACAGATTCATCCTGGAGAGGGTTAGACCAGGCTGCTCCTTGGAGACAAGGATTCTGAGGCTTCGTCTGACATACTTTGGACATGTTGTAAGGAGGGACAGGTCCTTGGAGAGGGACATCATGCTGGGTAGAGTAGAGGGACAGCGCAGGAGGGGAAGACCTTCTATGAGGTGGATTGATTCAGTGACTGGGGTAATCGGGATGGGTGTGTCAGAGGCAGTGCGATTGGCACAGGATAGAGCAGGGTTTAGGGCTGTTGTACATAGGGTCGCTATGAGTCGCAAGCAACTCGACGGCACATAAGATGTCTTATGAGTAATTCCATCACGTAGTGAAAAGCTGTGGCATACTGCACTTCTTTCTGATTAATATCTTAGTAGATATTAATTGATAATACCTATTATCAGCTATTTATGAGAGACAGGGCCAGTCAGTCACTCAGTATTGAATACCTGAAACTCGGAGGGTGCTCCTTGCATCCTGAAGCGTTCCTTACTTGAAGCACAGCTTATGAGTGGTTCGACGTCTGGTTAAAATCGCAGGTGAAACAAGTAAAGAGACAGCCGGCACAGAGACAATTGAGTTGTGAATAACAACCGGTGCCTCTGTACAACAGTCGCTGAGTGGGAAAGTAAACTTCTTGTTTAAAGCCTCACCAAAAAGAATATATTCAACAACAACAAATAATAAGAAATAGAACTGAGTTTATCCATATTGCTAAAAGTTTGAAAAACTTTTGCTCGCATTTCAGTCTCTTGCAACATTTAAGAGGTGGGGGACTGGGAATAACCCAAAATGCGTACATGGGAAAGGAAGCAAATAAAAGAGTGAAGTAGATACTACGTTAGGCTAAAATTAGGTGAAAATGGAAATATAAATGTAACACATTAATTAGTTCAGGATGGAATAACATTTATCTTGGTAAAATACCACAAACACGGCCTATTTACTAATCAGAAATTGTGCCTCTATTACCGAGAACATGATAAAAGTAGTATGTGTATATAAACGAAATCTCTAAATTCTGAACCACTTTAACTTCTATCAGCACTTCCTGTGTAAAACTGTTAAATCACAAAATAAGAGTATGAGCCTATTATTTAGAAATTTAAAAGTATCAACGAGAAGAGAATGGAGAGTGGCTGTCTACCACCTAGGGAGCATAACTTGGAGGTGCAGTGGAAAATGACCCCCTTTTTTTTTTACTTTAAACCTCTAAATCTGATAAATGTAAACACTGATATTTAGACAGTCACAGATTTCCATATCCTTTCATATGCCATTTTTGTCTTTGTGGTGGAAATAGCTGGGAAAAAAGTGGAAGAAGAAAAGATACTTCCTCTGGAAAAGAAATACAAACTATATGTTCATTTCCTGAGTAATGAATGAAGCATTTGTAGCTACTGAGATTTAAGAGTGGGCCAGTGCACTTGAGGATAAGAGATAAGAGCTACATAGATTTATGTACATTGATACATAATCTAAAACTGTGATTTTGTAATACTGATGCTTACAGATTGATAGGATAATCTCTGTTTAACAACAGTACTCTATGCAATGTAATAGTCATACTCTAAAATGCTCTATTTATTTTTGTAATATATTTAGGATCTTAAAACTTCAAGGGGTCTATTTGAAGAAATGAAGAAAACTGCAAACAAAAATGTTGTACAGGCAAGTGACTTATTACAATACTTAGTGAGACTGGTGATTTCTTTCTGGGTAGCTACGAAGGTACTGTGTACATAGTAAAATTTTATTCCATATTGCAATACACATCTTCAGGCAGAATATTTAATAGTATTTAGTAGGTGGCTGTGTTAGCAAATAATTTCTGAGATGATGTTAAGAAAGAAAACAAATAAATAAGCCAAAGAGCTGGAAAAACATTTGTTTTTCAAAATTAGCCATGACTAGCTTTCAATATTTGGTTTAATTTCCTTCTTGTAACATATTTTAAACATATTTTCAAATAAAGTAGGGAAATGGAACAGACTCTTCATTTTTCCAGTGATAACAAAATTCTGCATAAAAGTCCAGCAAACAGTAATTTCAAAAATTGGAAAATAGAATGTGTTCTTAAAGGAAAAATGCAAACATTTTTGTTCTCTACTTTAAAACTATTAGTATACTTTTTCAGAGTTTTAACAGTATATTTCTCTATTTTTTATGTTTTAATAGAAATGTACCACAGTAATTTTCTTTTCTACCCCTAGGTGATTGAATGGGTATTAGAAAAGACAAGCAAGAAATAATACAGAACCACTGTCCACGGGTAACTGTGAATCAGGATGGAGTTCTTATTTATTCCTTTCTTCCCTAGTTTGGAAACCGTAAGCAAGGTCTGAGCTCCATGCAGTGAACACATGCTGAATCTCTGGAGAATTCCATAAATAACCTGTGTTTTATATGGATGCTGAGACTCTCAGCGAATGTATTTTTAATTCCATACTTATTTTATACAGCCTCACTATATTTTAATTTTTAAAGTTAATATTTTATATATATATTTTAAAGCTTTGACTTTGCTTATTTAATTAAATAGAAATACATCTTCTTGAATGAAATGTTGGGTTTGTTTTGGTTTTTTTTGTTTTGTTATTGGGACAACTTTAATTCCTCTATGTTCAGCGAGATAACCTGTGTTTGTCCAGTGTCCCTACCACGGTGCGCTCCACATTTAGAAATTATTGGGAGGGGAAGGAAGGAAGAATCATAAATAGAGCTATTTTCATGTACCTCTGCCCCAGAGACTTCTCTGTTAGAGCTATTCATATTTATGTGGGATGAAAATAAAGAAAGGGCAGAAATTATAAGAATAAGTTCTAGAGAAAATGACTCTGGATATAGGCTCTCAGATAAGACTACTTTTGTTGTATTCTGTCAAGTCTCCTGTGACTCATAGCAACCTTATGTACAACAGCTCTGAACCTTGTCCTATCCTGGGCCAATCTCATTGTCTCTGACACACCTAACCCCATTTCCCCAGTCACTGAGTCAATCCATCTCATCCACGGTTGTCTTCTCCTGTGCTGTCCCTCCATCCTTCCAAGCATGATGTCCTTCTTCAAGGACTGGTCCCCCCTGGCAAAATACCCAAAGCATGTGAGACGGAGCTTCAAAATCCTTGCCTTCGAGGAGCAGCTTGGTTTCACCTTCTCTAGAACATACCTCATTATTCTCTTAGCAGGCCATAGTATCTTCAGTACTCTTCTCCAGCACTACAACTTAAAGGCGTCAGTTCTTCTTATATAATCCTTAGTCATTGTCCAGTACTCTGATACATAGCAAGTAATTGCAAAGATGATGGCTTGAGTCAGGCACATCTTAAGTCTCTAGATTGACATTGTTGCTCTTCAGTACTCGAGAGAGGTCCCTGACAGCAGATTTTTCCAGTCCAATTCATCTTTTGATTTCCTGACTGCTGATGCCAGGTGTGTTGATTGTGGAGCCAAGCAAGCTGTAATTATTAACAATCTCAGTCTACTCTCCATCCATCATGGTGCTGCCAGTTGGCCCAGTGGTGAGAATGTTTGTTTTCTTGATGTTGCGCTTCAATCTATATTGTAGGCTGTAGACATTTTGCAGCAAATGCCTCAGGTCCTCCTCAGTTTCACAAGCAGGGTTGTGTCATCTGCATAATGCAGGTTGTTGATGAATCTTCCTCCAATCCTGATGCCACATTCCTCTTTGTAAAGTTCAGCCTCCCAGATGATCTGTTCCATATATATACTGAAAAGGTATGGAGATAAGATGCATCTCCAGCACACACCTTTTCTGATTTTGAACCACGCAGTGTTTACTTGCTCTGCTTCCTGATCCAAGTATAGGTTTCACGTGAGCACAATCAAGTGTTCTGGGATTTCTATTCTTCTCAAGGTCAGCCACAATTTGTTGTGATCCACACAAACACCTTTGCATAGTCAATGAAACACAGATAGACATCCCTCTGGTATTCTCTGCTTCAGCTATGATCCACCTAACATCAGCTATCTTCATTCAAAAATGTATTTTCCCATAGTAGAAAGCTTGGAAAATACAGAAATAGAAAGCAGAGTAGAAAAATTAATTCACTTTCTTTGCATCAGTTGAGGCAACTGCTTTCAGTATTTTAAAAAATGTGTCTCCAACTATTTTTTAAAGAATTTCAAAGTTGGGGTGATTCTTACTATATCCTAAATTTTACTATACATATGTCATTATTTTAATGACAACATAATACAGCCTCATTCAGGCCATGGTCTTTGCAGTTACTTGCTATGCATCAGAAATGTGGACAGTGACTAAGGATGACAGAAGAATTGATACCTTTGAGTTGTGGTGCTGGAGAAAAGAGTAGACAGGTCTGTCCTGGAGAGGGTGAACTCAGGCTGCTCCTTGGAGGCAAGGATTTTCAAGTGTTGTCTCACATACTTTGGGCATATTACCAGGAGGGACCAATCCTTGGAGAAGGACATCATGCTTGGAAGGGTGGACGGACAGCGGGGGAGAGGAAGACCCTGGATGAGATGGATTGACTCAGTGACTGGCGTAATGAGAGTAGGTGTGTCAGAGACAGTGAGACCGGCTCATCGTAGGGCAGAGTTCACAGCTGTTGTTCATAGGGTCACCATGAGTCACAGGCACCTCGATGGCACATAACAAAACAACACAATACAATGAACCATAATTTGTTTAAGCAATATTCATAATCAGACATGCAGATCAGTATTTTACTATTTTAAAGACGAGAGTCCAGAATAAGAGTTGTACAGTAAAGCGGCCCGGGGTGGGGAGGGATTGTGTAATAATGAAAGAATATTTTCCTAAAGAAAAAAGTGAACTGGGGGGAGGGGAGACAGGGAGGAAAATGTGCAGCAATGAATGAATGGAAATCATTCACTGGAATGAATGAACAGAAATCAAGTTCTTTATACTTTAATTTAAAAAAAAAAAAAAGAGAGCCTCTGGTGTAACATGGGCATTATAAAGAAGCTTCCAAAGATGATGTTGATATGTCCCCAATGTTCCAATTCATGTGTCAGTTCCTGTTGTTAAATCATTTAACATTTGATAGAATGGCTTATTTTGTTAGCTGTCATCAGGCCAACTCCAAGTCCCAACTCATGGTAACCAACATACGACAGTGTGGACGACTGCCCAGGGCCGCACCAGTCCTATGATTAGGTTCACATCTGATGATTTGTATGTTTGGTAGTTTTGGTTTTAGATTGCTTTTGCTTTTGAGGGTTTTTCTTTTTTGGCTAATTTTCTGAAGTAAGTAATCACACTTTCTTTCTAGTCTATCATAGTCTGTCATCCCTGCTAAGACTTGCTGGTAGCATTACCGAAGCCTCCACTAACAGGGAGATGGTGGCTGAACATGAGATGCATTCACTGGGACTTACCACTGCGAATTCCTTGTGGTAAGACATTCTGTCGCTGAACCACCAGAGGATCATGTTATACGACTCTGACCCCCTGATTGGCTGATGTCCTGCAATGACACATCCCACTGACACTTTCTGAATATGACCCAGTCTAACTCATCCCCCTCTCACACACAGCAAACTTCTATTTAAGTTAAATTCTAAGATCAAAATTCATTCTCCAGTGAAAACGGCAGTCAGCTCCTAAAAACGCTTGATTCTTTTTCATCCTGGATGTTTCTACCAACATGATAATGGCTTTGAGAATGCGTTTTTGGTGTGATTTTGTAATTTTTGTGTTTATTAACTTGTCTTCCACAACCACAATGACACTGTGGGCTAAGATATTTGGTTATTTTTATAAGTCCTGTCTTAAATGTGAGGTTAGTCATAATTATAAATGAACAGATGACTGCAAATAGAAGAGAGACAACGTTCGTGGATTTTATTTCCATAGTCGAGGTGGTTAGAGTTAGAATGTGTGAGGCTTAAGCTGGACATTGGATAAGGAAGACCGAAGAGGAACTGATGGCTTGGAATAACAGTGTTGGCAAAGAACAACAAACAGTCTGTCTTGGAGGACATACAGCCAGAATGCTGCTTCATAGTGAGAACGGGGAGACTTCACCCTGCTGACTTCATACCTGTTCTCAGGAGAAGCCAAGCCCTGAAGAAGGGCAGCACTATTGGTGAAGTGGAAGGCCCGAGAAAAAGAAGTCCCTCAGGGGCATGGATTAACAGAGGGGCTCCAACACTGGGCCCAACTTAACAGCAGCTTCAGGATAACACTGGACCGGTTTGGTGTTCTGCTCTGTTGTACTTACAGCCTCAGTGTGTTAATCCTAACAACAGTGAGGTTTCTGGTTAATGCCTTCCTGAGAAAGAGATCTACATCTCCACTAACAGAGTCCCTGTTTCCCTTTTATGATTGAAAATGTCAAGATTGGACATTGTTTTTAACATAATGGCAGTTCTTTGTTTATTTCTAGTATTTGTCCTCAGGCAGAATAAGAAAACGATTCAGTTGCAAACATGGTCTTTTTTTAAGAAAAAAAAATTTTTTTTTTCATTTTATACTGGTTTACTTACAAAGTTCATAATGTTCATATACGTTGTTTTCACACTGGATAACACAGGCTTTTTCCTATGAGAGGACTTGCCAAGAAGACCAGAGCAGGGTACTCCCCAGACAGCAGAAATGGACCCTGTTGGGCTAACATTGTGTGTCGGTGTGGCTGTGATCCTCCGTGTAATGTAACTCCTCTGGGTGTTGTAAACAGTCTGTAAGGAATTGCATGACAGGCAGTTTGAATCGACCAGTGACCCCTTTTGAGAATGATGGGTAGTCTCCTCTCGTGTGATTTACAGCCTCAGAAACATGCTGGAGGGTCGGCTGTGAGTCAGTTCTACTAAAGAGCAAAGCACTGAGTGAGTTCATAGGGCAGGATTACAAGCGAATTTGATATGATCAATTTTTACCTAATTTAAGGGTCAGTCCCCTCAGGGGTGTGGTACCCATGACATGTATTTGGCCTCTTGTAAAAAAGTTAAACATGGCAAAAAACAAAAACAAAAACCCAAAACATTTGCTGTAGAAAATCAAGAATGACAGTCTTCAGTATGGATTGCATTTCAACGTCAAGGAAGAAAAATAAATTCATACCACTGGGCCAATAAACAACATCATGATGTATGGAGAAAAGAGCGAAACTGTCAATGATTTCATCTTCTTTGGCTCCACAATCAAATAGCATTGGTACTAGCAATCAGGAGACCTACTACATTGGGAAAGGTCACTGTCAGGCACATCTCCAAATTTCTGAGGAGTGATGTCAGTTTGAACACTA